GGGTGTCACACACACGATTGTATAGGACAGCTTAGACAAAATAAAAGACTTTTAATTTCTTATATAAAAAGTAAAATAATATAAAATTAAATACTTATTATAATACTATTACCTGGTAAGTAATAGTATAATAATAGCTATTACCTTAAATAAGTAACTTGACCTTAATATTACAGCTTAACTGCCCGGCTTCTAGGCGCTTACCTTACCTGACTCAACTGCCTTTTCTGAAACAGGATGCGCGTTTTTTCCTGTCTTGGATAGCCCTGCGTCCTAAATTACTTGTTATATTTAACCTTGTTTTAAAGCTTATTCAGGGAGGTCAAAAGACCCCATATATAATTAATACTAGGGGAAGAAAATCCTGTTTTTAATAAAAGGGGATTCACGCATTATCAGTCGCATGTTTCATAATTAAATCAACCCACATAAAAGTATCATGACGACTCAGCTGTAAATGACTCAAGTACTACAAGTATAATACGCCGCTTCCTGATAGGATAATATCCCAGTTCGATATGACTCGACGTTTATGCTAGAAATCAGAAGCGAGTCAGGTTTCTGAGCTATATATAAGGGAGCTATTAGACCTTTTTTTCTAAGCAAAGTAAAAGTCATACACTAGTTCCTTTCAAGTTATCACTCGCAGTTTATTGCTATTAGCATTACTTAACAACATCAGTGTTGCAATATTTTTTACTGTCAATATGGTCCGCCCTAGCTTTATCATCTCTCGTTAGTACTGACATGATATGCTTCTAACGTACCCAGCTAACTTGGTGGTATAGTGGCCCTGGCTGCCCAAGGTCTGCAGGCCGCTCCAAGCAAGCCCAGAGACCAGCTTGAACCTCTGGCCGTAGACGCTCAGGATGCTGAAATCGGCTATCCCGTTCAGCTTGACAGGCAGGCCGGAGTAGATGCCGGAAGCAGTGACGGGTGTCAGCCGGATAACGTCAATAAAGGCACCAAGGGAGATAACACGGCTAAGCGGCCGATCCCAACGGGTTACCCCACGCAGGACGAAGAGAAAAAGTTCCAGAAAGATCGCCAACGTGGAAAGACCAAGCACAAGGATGCCGAGGCGCAGAGGGCTAAGGAGAAGGCTGACCAGGATGCTGCACGAGAGGCTGCAAAAAAGGCTGCTATAGAGAAGGATGCGAAGGATGCCGAGGAGAGAAAGAAGAAGGCAGAGAGGGAGAAGGCCTTTAAGGAGGTGGAGAAGGAGAGTGAGAGAAAGGAGGCCACAGGGAACCAGAATACAAATACGAATGCCCAAAAAATCGTCGACGACGGCCAGAAGAACTGCAAGGAGGGAGGACCGGAAATTGGTTGCAACAAGCCCCTGCCCACCAAGAGTCAAGCTGCTACCAACTAAATATACATGCCGGGTCCATTTCAGCCTGTTACAACAGCTGAAAGACCAACCTTTCGTAGTTGGGAACATGGGAGTCTGTGAACTCAACTGCCAAAGAGCTTGGGCAGTGGATGCTAGATAAAGACGACAAGGCAACTATAACGGAAGGGTGACTGGGGAGTTGGTGATGTTGCAGTTCAAGTTGCATGGCTGAATAGAAGCAAGGTTAGTGATAATGTGGTCTATTGAGTTGTCCTGTCTTAGCTTCTACTAGTCTTTCGTATTCAGCTACTGCTTCGGGGTCCGCCTTGACAGCTTCTAGATCAAAGTACACCTGTTCGAAATCCTTTCCTCTACTCAATGCTGTTGAACGTCACAGCGGAACACAGATAAAAAAATGCGTTGATTCTGCAATCTAGAGATGTGTTAGAAATACGATACTACAGCATCAGGGAGAGAATTCTACTGTGTATTGAAAAGATTATTATTGAGTTGATTTCTTTTCGACTAAAATCCTCCCAGACTCAAAAGACTTTTGTAATGCTGCTGCCTATTGGGCAGCAGCTTTTAACGGAAAAGTAATTCCGCTTCCACAAGGCCGCTTGATCGGTGGATCGAGCGCCATGAATTGGCAGGCATTTATCGCTAATTCCAAGGCCAATATTGACGCCTGGGGCAAATTAGACAACCCCAGCTGGGACTGGGATACGTTCGACTCATTACTGGTGCTCTAGTTGAGAAACTTCTCTTTAAAGGCTCGACTTCACACGGTGATGGTATCGCTACCGGCGTCCAGTTCGCCAAGGATGGAGGGTCGCAGACTATCAAGGCGCGCAAAGAAGTCATTCTGTCCGCTGGTGCCTTCAACTCGCCCAAGATACTCGAGCTCTCAGGTATCGGCTCGCGGACTCTTTTAGATAAGCACAAAATCTCTGTTGTCGTTGATAATCCCAACGTCGGCGAGAACCTCCAAGACCACGTCTTGGCGGGTATTAGCTTCGAAGTCCAAGACTTTATCAACACCAAAGATGATCTCATGCGTCGAGTTCCGGAGGTTGTGGACGCTGCAATGAATGATTACAAGACGCATCAATTCGGGCCCTTTCCCGTTGGTGGCAACTATTCCTCGGCTCTGCTTCCGGTTCCCGATTTCTCCAGGCCTGAGACTGGTGCCTCCGAGCTCTCCGCTTTTCTTGATACTATGCTAAGTTCTGTTGATCCCACCAAACCTTTCCAAGCCGAGCTCGCTGGATTTGTGCGCTCTTTGCTCACCAACCCCGAAGCAGCCACCGGCGGCTACTTCACCTATTGACCCCGCCCAGTCCGACTTCAGAGGCTCCGGTGCGGGCGAGAGCATCATCCGCACCAAGTTCCCAGAGAACTATATCACTATTGCCATCAGCTTACTGCACCCTCCTGCGGCAGCAGCCTCTAGAAGGCCAGCGGGATATAAGTTACAGCGTCCATGTATACAGCCTCCAATAAATGTACTTGACTCCGCCCAGATAGTACAGCCACAGCAAAGCTTGATGCACATTTCGGCCCTCAAGGCGGTGGCATTTACATGTGCTCCCATTCCCGAGTAGTCTAATAAACGAACCGCACTGCGGCTGCCGGCAAGCCTACGCTATGAGTACAGAATAATCCAACTCTACTATGGTTGTATTGGCAATTTGGTGAAATTGAAAGGAGGAGAGCAAGCTCGAGCGCACTGTGGTCGATGCCACCATGAAGGTATTCTAGTACCCTGTTAAAAGTCTGGCGTCCCCAAGTATGTGACACCCATTCCAAAGTGGTGTGGGGCCTCAAACAATTGCCAATCTTACCAGTTGACATGTAATTCAAGGTTGGAAGATGGGCTGATCGATGTGATTGATGACTTCGATTGATGGCTCTGATTTCGATTTACTTTACTTTATTCATATACTGTTCCAGCCACCAACGGGGACCATGGTCTGGCTCAGCCGCGGAATCCATGCAGATACGTGCCGAACTTAGCCAATCGGGGAAATATCAAGCAGCAATAATCACCGAAATGTCGAGTCTTGAGCACGAAAGGATAACGCCCAGTAAGCCCTGGAGGATCGCCTGTAACCAGGGTTCCCGTCCTGCTTTACGTGAAGTCCTGCCCCTTATTCCGGTGTACAGTGAGTCATCAATATGAGACATTGGGGCTATTCCGCGCTGACTTGGAGGTTAGACTTGCGCTGTGCAACCCAATAATAGAGTTTATTGAGGTGATTTCTTTTTTCATCCCAAGGTACTTGTGCCCACCTCCAGCACTACAGGGTAGCGCGACGCGTTCTTTTATTGGCACTGGGTCAATATATTGTTTTTTGTTGCCCAGCCCAACCCCGCAAGGAAGGTGACTATCTGCCTCACCCCGCATTGTCTGGCTGTTGCTAGCTGAATAGCTTGGACGCAATGTGTTGAGCGAGTGTGATTGGATGCTTGGGCTATCTGGCTGGGTGCTTTTTTGTGTGACCCGCGGATGTGTGTCGCTATGCCGAGTCGCCATGCATCTGGGCTGGGTACGGAGAACCAGGAAATGTTGGCGTGGCGCCCTCGCTGCCTCATATATTTCCAGGCAAAATTCTTCCGTCCAGTAAGAAAAGATAAAAGTCCACAACATGCCATCGGGGTGGTGTCAATGGCAACACTGAAGCTCCAACATGTACAAGTGCCATTCCGCAACACCAGAGTTCCGCCGCGGGTTACTAGAACAGGAAACGACATCTGGAGGGCTTCTGGGGAGCGAGGGCAACCGTACAAAACCAGGGGTCCGTGTCCACACAAGCCAAAAACAGTCTCAAGCTGTCACAAACCTTTGATTATCCTCTGTCTTCGACTCCTGCATTCGTAGCCTCAACGTTTTGGCCCTGTGCTGTCCGTTTATGTGTCCCACCTTACACCCACTATTAACCATAAACAAATTACGAAAATCGGCCACATTACAGGATCTAGTTATGTTAGTTTCTGTGGGGGTAAGCATCCGTTAAACATCTTCTACTGTAGCCTTTACTAGCATGCGATTCCTTTCCTCTGTTCTTTACAGGTTATCTCTATATGCTTTGCACAGTATTTACACGTGAGATTCGTCGATTCCTTGACTGGGCATTACACTCCCTTGTGTTTGTGAGCGCATTCACCAGCATCATAGCCGTCATTATTAGGTCCTTCCCAGCCCCTCTTCCTCATGTTCCCCAGCGATATTTGTCTTTTGCTTTCTGGGATTCCCATTCGAAAATATCTGAGTGGCCAAAATAGCCATTTTGCGAGGGATGATACGGAAATGAAGTTGCGACCGTGAATCTGACGAGTGGTAGAAGACACTTGACCGGACCAGACATGTGGGGCACTGCAGCAGCTGCTACTGCCTAGACTCTCAAAGGTTTTAATGTCTGGTTGCTTTTTACTGTTGTCTGGTGTCTAGTCAATATAAAGAAACATTGAATGCACAGCGCTGGGGTACATATACCCGCCGTAATTATCAACTTCTACTATAACCGCAGCTGGCATATTTTTGCCAAGATCTTAACCCTCCCCTAGACAAAAGTCAAAACTCAGCGCATCCTCAAAGGATTCCAACTTATTAATATCGAGTCTATTATGTACCCGAGTATGCAAAAGCTGATAAAACCCCGCAACTCCTCCAAGCAACGCGGCCCCATCTTTTCGGTTCTCAACCGAGTTATAGCGAGTATGGGTATTGTTCCCACCCTCGGAGATTAGACTTTCACACCTGCATGTACCTCGCGTCATTTTGAAAGTTGTTAAATGAGTCTAGGTGGACTTGGGGCATTAGTGAGAAGAGCCTTGTTGGCTTGGCATCTGACAAGACTGCCATTACGGATGGCTATTACAACCCGAAAAAGTAAAGTATGGCACATCCCGGTCTTTCATTCCCAAAGGGCGTATTGTATATATAAGTCGACTCTTTGTCTCTCTTTTTGCTCGCTCCCTGCCAGAAGAGTAAACTTGTGCGGCCGCGATACACAGAAGCATTCTACTAGCAAACACACCTAATATCAGGCAACGGTGATGCTTACAACGCAATTTCTGGCTGCGTGGGTCTCTGTTGCTCCCATCGCTGCCGCAGTTGCAGTTGAGTCTGCTGGGGACCACGTCGAGATTTTCCAACGACAGGACGGCCATGTCGCCCCCGGTACTGCCTCTGATTGCACCTTTTACGAAACCGTCAATGAAAGTACGCAGAATTGTGAATATTGGGAAACCTCATGGTCCATCTCGCACGCCGACTTTGTCGATTGGGTAAGTTGCTTCGTCTCCTAGTGACTTTGACAACCGACGCCCAGCCCCATGTCCTAACCACGCACCGTCATTCTCAGAATCCCAGTGTAAAGTCGGACTGTAGCGGCCTCATGGTGGGTAACTCGTACTGCGTCGAAGTCAATTATGGTGTTCCTCGGCCGGCAAAGACAGCTTCCTCAACACAGTCGACCAAACCCACCGCTGGTTCCAAGGCTAGCCCAACTCAGCCAGGCCTCGCGCAGGACTGCACCGCCTTTTACCAGGCAAAGTCTGGCGATACCTGTGAGAAGATAGTCACGTCTTACGGGACCTTTAGCCTTGACGACTTCTTCCGATGGAATCCAGCCGTGGGGCCAAGCTGCTCTCGTCTTTTGGCCAACTACTACTACTGCGTGGCTGCCCCCGGCTCGTTTTCTAAGCCGACCACTGGCCCATCTCCAACACAGAGCGGCATCGCCAAGGACTGCACAACCTTTTATAAGGTACAGCCCGGCGACTCATGCCAGGGTATTGTTGATGAGTACGGCACATTTTCCTTGCAAGACTTCAACAAGTGGAACCCAGCAGTCGGCTTGGACTGCCGGAGTCTACTTGCCGGATACCATGTTTGTGCCGGCGTGCCTGGAACACCGACTGAGAAGCCAAAGCCCGATGGTCCGTCGCCAAGACAACCTGGCATTGTCAAGACGTGCGATAAGTACTACCGTGCTCTTTCTGGCGACACTTGTCAAGGAATAGTCGACAAGCATGGTGGCAACTTGAAATTACAGGACTTGTGAGTTTTCGAGGCTCATGGTATTCTATAAAGTGTTTTTACTTTCTAACTCGATACATTTGTGCAGCTACACATGGAATCCGGCAGTTAAGAATGGTGAGTTTTTTTTTCCAATGAGAGTTCTTGGTTGAGTGTATCTTGAGCAGGCGACTATTTGCACCATATTCTAGTCAATGTATTTAATGCTAATCAAATGGCGAAACCAGATTGTAGTGGTTTGTGGATGGGTTACTACTATTGCGTCCGTGTCCCTCCCATGTTCCAGGTCAAGGCTATGTATCACGCCGACTGCAGCGGGAAGGAGCATGATCGGGTGACTATTGCGAATAAGAATGATGGACTATGTCTGAACACCAATTGTGCTGTGGCGTCTCTAGATATTGACGCTGTTGGCCAATGTCCAGAAGGACAGGTACAGATAAGCTATTGGGAAAGGCCAGGTTGCACCGGTAAGTGGTATGGGTATGGGTACGCCAGCATAGGCCAATGCCGTAAATTGTGGACAGAGGGATGGAAGTTTAAAGCGGTGCATCTGAGATGTGCGGACGAAAAGGATGATTGCGTCACCAAGGGAACATGCAAGTTTGATGCGGAGCCGGCCAACTTTGTGTGCTAGACAAGAGCCAACGCACGATGAATAAACGACATTGCTCTGTGATCTGTAGTTGCTGTCTTGACAAAGACTAGCTCTTGTTCGTGGTGTGTATTGGTTCTCCTACGAGGCGCAGGGTTAGAGAATTGGGCCCATAGTTTCTGTCAATAAAAGACTTGACTGATAACTACCAGACTCAACTTGCCAAGCCTCCGCTTGGCCCAACACACGTTCCACGAGGCACATAAGCTTAAGCCATGGCGGCATGGGCGACAACCGATTGGTCTCGTAGACATTCAACCGCGGCCTTTATTCCGGTTCTGTCAGCCAACTAAATCAGTTTCCCGCTCTTACCGCAGAGACATTATAGTCCGTAACCGATAACGGGCAATTATGGGGTCTGGTACAATTGACATGTACGCGGTGCAGCTCGCACCAATCAAGTGGGGCGAGGCGCGGGTAGGTTCCGACGGGAAAGTTAGCTGCTCCCATGGGCGTCTTCCCGCTCCTTGTGGAACTCTGCGGCAATTTCGCAGCCAACAACGGTGTATTCATTACGTGAGCGACGCCGCCTCAGTCATCGCCAACTTTGCCAAGACAACCATGCTCCTCTTAAAAAACAGAAATTACTATGGCTATGCGAACAGCTCGCTCACTCGAGGCTGACTGACCCATGATGACGACGCAGCAACTTGTTCAGCAGCGGATGCGCGAGGCCTTCGGCTCTCCCAACGAAGCCATACACGCTTGTATTCGCGACAACAATATTAGCCAGTTGCAGCAGCTAGTTATCAGCTGCCCCTCGGCTGATCTAGAATATCTGAACCACGCATGGGGCGCGCCTCTCCACGTCGCCGTGTGGTCCGCCAACTTGTCGGCGGTGGACGTCTTGCTGGATGCGGGCGCCGACGTTCTTGCCGAGACTGCCGACGACTCGTTGTCCGCCACGCCTCTCGGCCTGGCTGCGCGTCTCGGACTTGTGGACATCCTCAGGCGTCTCTGGATTAGTGTCCCGCCCGAGAGTCACGCCAATGTGTTTCGCCCACCCTTGTCTTGTCTCATCTTGGCAGCAACGTACGGCCAGGCTGCCACTGTCGGCCACCTCTTGGACTGGTGGGATGGCTGGTCCCTCGACGTCAGGGATACGGCGCTTTGCTACGCATCAGGGCGGTGGCAGGTTCATTCTGTTCAAGTCCTCCTGGAAAGGCTCCGCTTCAGCCACGAGACAATGGTCCGCGCACTTCACAAGGCAGCCGACTTCAAGTTTATCATGGCCGAGGAGGAGGGGGCACTTGGCGTTCAATACTCTGAGATGGACTATGTCCACCAGCGGCAGCTCATCGCCAAGCTGGTTGATGCCGGAGCAGATGTCAATGCTCGTCTCCACGGGCAGCATCTAACCCTCCAGGCCGCGGGCGTAATCGACCTGGCCCCCGCGCTGAGCCAGCTTCTCGAAAGCGGCCTAGACCCTGGTGCCAAGAGCGGCAACGATGCCGACCAAGAGCAGTCGGCGCTCCATCTCCTCGGCTCGCCAGTTCGGCTCCATCCACGCAGAGCAACCTGCCGCCTTCACGAATCCGGCATCCGCCTCTTGCTGCAGCACGGCGCCTCCGTGTTCCAGAGAGATGCTCTGGGAAACACGCCCCTGCACTGCGCCGCGTTCGGCTCTAATCTGCGCATATTCAGCCTCTACCTCTCGTCTGCCGGCAGCACCGCAGACATGGCGGTCGAGAATGATCACGGCGAGACCCTGCTGCATTGGGCTGCTGCCGGCGGCAAAACAGACATTCTGGAGTACCTTTTATCTCACGGGGCCGATGTCAATGCCGCAAGTGCCAACGGATGGACCCCTTTGATGTGCGCCCTTGCCCCTTCCAGGGAGAGCCGTCTCGTCGGGGCACAAGCCAAGGAACTCTCGGCGGCCATCCGGGCTGCCCAGCTGTTGCTCTCCAGTGGCGCCACCCCTTTTTTCGTCACCGCCGAGGGGTGGACGCCGTTGCATTGTCTCGCATTGCACCTTGATCATGATGAGGACGGCCAAGCGCGCCTGTTGGCCGAGCAGCTGATTTTGGCCGGCGGCAGCGGCCGTGTTGTCGACGCCCGGGCTCCGATGCTCCTATCCGATCGCCGGCCGAATCGCGGATATGCCCCCCGGGCCGCCTTGACATCGAGCCACATTGGACTCGGCGATGCTTCCGCGCTCTGGGGCTTCCGTGTGGAAGAAGCAATCCGATTGGCTGATACTCACCCTGTTTTGACTGTCAAACGCGACCTAACCCCGCTCCACTGGGCTGCGGAACACGGCGCTGTTGGCGTCGCCAAGGCTTTGTTGACCCATGGTGCTAATATCTTGTCCGAGGACCCATTTGGAAACACCCCGGCCATGACCGCCACCGCATCGAAGTTGCTTGAGCGTAGACCTGACGTGAGGGAAAAGCTTATCCAAGTCTTGGGCCACCACGCTGAGGATAATATTTGACAGTTCCATCTCTACTGCTGCCTATTTATTAATACAGACTGGATAACATGTTTCCCTCCATCGATTTTTAGATCTACCAGACACAGGTAAATCATTTTTCCCCTTGGTGAATTCCTCATCCAACAACCCGCACAGGCCGCCGGATGACCCCCCGCCCCATCACGATGACGGCGGGGCGGGAGGGAAGAAATCGTACCTGTCCCCTTGCGTGATCAACCAGTTTATCGTGTAAGGGTCCGCTCCGGATGCGGCGTTGGTCTGGGTATTAGGCAGAGCCAAGACACCGGGATCCTGCGGGTCAATCTCGCCGCTTGGAGGATTGCCCCCTTCGAGGATGAGCCGGATGCCCGGACTACGCACGTAGCCTTGGTTGTAGATTACCTCTGACCATTCTTGCACGAGTTGATACCATGGTTCCTGCCCCTCCACAGCCCTCGGTGATCCCACATACCATAACCCATCTCCAACCGAATCGCACGAGAAGCCGTCTCTGGCGTTTAGGTACCCCGAATCAATGTTTTGCACACGCCATGCATAGCGGCCCCGAGCTCCACGAACTTCCTGGCCGTGATACACACTTAGGTAGTCGACACCCAGATAGGTGTGACCGTTAATTCGACGGAGCCACTCTCGGGTTGGATCAACATGTAGATGAAAGACTGTGTTTTTGATTTGCCTAGTTAGCATGTCGTCCAAGCTGGGCAAACCTTTGTTGGCCTGTGTCCAAGAGCCAAGTTGACGGGAGGGGGGAGGTTGGGGGAGCTGGAGACGAGCCGTATGACTAGAGCTGAGCTAAATGAACTTACCAACCCATCGATCGTCCGGAGCGTTTCTCGCCGTCGTGTCTCGATACTGATCCAACTCGGCGTCCTCTGTATGGACCCCCGGCTGTGGCCCAATCCAGTAGGCAAGCTCCAGAATAGGACCGGGGGCCGACGCCGTAGCCTGCCCTTCCTGATACTGCCAACGGGCATAATGCAACGTCAGATGCCCAACTCGGATGCCCTCGAGGATCGTTTCGAGACCAGGGACATCGTTTGTTCCGCCTCCCCAGGCCCAGACACGCCGCGCCCAAAGCGGTCCCTGGTCGTCTCTGCGCTCAAGACTGCGCCGGCTCGACGACCGTTCACAAAACACCTCGCGCGCATTTCTGGCCCTGCGGACCCCGGCTCCAGCCACGAGAGGGTTGTAGAGAATGTACTCTATCACGCCACGGGTGTCAAATATCGGATAGTCCCTAAAAAACCCCTCCAGGGCGCTATATTCGAGCGCAGTGTCATAGCTGGCGGCAAACTCGCTATCCCAAACTTTCCTAAACGGGTCCAGCGCCTTCTTGTTCATGGTGAACATGAGAGTCGCGTAGCTGAGGAGTCTGATCCAGTTGTCCATGGCGCAGTTGATGGCGCGTCCCCGAAGAATGTCATATTCGCGAGCCTCCATCTCAATAGATCTCTTGGCAGGCATCCCGCCGTTGAACATGTCGTGCAGGTTCGGCTGCAAAATGGCGGCAGGGCAGGTTGGGTTCTCCATGTACTTTTGCATCAACAGTTCAAACTCTTTTGCCTGGGTTGAACCGAAATCGTCACGACGACTCGGCTTCGTCGTTGGCGGCGCCGGCTCTGGACAGCAAAAAGCGACATTTCCGTAGCAGCCATCGCCGTCCACGGTCAGCCCGCTTTCCACCGACAGTCGAATCTGCCCCGACGGACATGCCCCTTCGCACACGTAGGCATACTGCTTGTCAGTCAAAAATCCGGCCTTCTTATGCCAGTCACACTTGTCGGAAAACTCGGCCGGGGGCGGCTCGGCGCAGCAGTAGCTCCTCTTTTGACTTTTGCCGCATGATTTCGCTCCGCCGGAAGCAACGCTGCTGGCCACAACAAAGTATGGATAAAACCCTCTGCAGGCTTCTTGGGGATTCTTGGAGCATCCGGTCCACGAGCATTTGCCATATGCTGCTGTTCCCTTGCCCTCGCTGCAGCAGGCCGACTGGTGATTATTCTTGCAGCCAGAGCCCACTGTTCCCACCTCGACTTCGCCCGTCTTACAGCCGGGGCTGCAGTTGCCCGAGTTTTTATGCCCTCTCCAGGTGCATACCGGGAGTTCTTGGTCCGCTGGGCAGCAGAAGCGAATAAAACCATGGCCAGTCCCGCCCGGGCACTGCGTTGTGTCCATCATGATCTCCTTGTGTCCATCTCGCTGAATCTCCTTGAAGCCGCTGGGACAGCCTTCGAAGCAGCTGGTCCACCGACACAACTTGGGGGGGGACTCTACAACGGCATCTGCGGGCACGTCTTTTTGATTAAAGTCCGGCAAGTCCATGGTTGGCCGCTCAAGCGCCGAGTTCAGCGCCTGGGCATTTGTGTAGCTCTGGTCATCCTGGCTCATGGCCCAGACCATGAAGCCGCTGATACACTGGCTGCGGAAGCGGTTAGCCTTGAGCCTCCATGTTACGAGGTCGTCGAATGACGCCCATTGGTTCCCCCATGACACCGTCTTGACGGCGGCGTCGCGGTGCAAGACGGGCTTGAGACCCTCCTTCTTTATGATGTCCCGGATTTCAGCATGGAGCAAGACGCCCGTGGTTCCGGAGCAGCGACCCGGATTTCCCGCGGAGCTGACGCGACATCCAGGCTTATTGCAGCTTGGCTTAGTCAAGGTAAAGCTGCGGCTGTAGAAGCTCATCCCCATAGTAACTTTATTGGGGTTTATGTTATTCCGCCACAGGAGGTCCAAGGCTAGCTGGATCTCGGTGATGTTGGTATGGGCATTGGCCCACGGTCCCGTCCATCTGTTGTCAATGTCCCAGGCTCCATGCATATCGTAACTCATTAGATTGAACCAGTCAACGGCAGCCTCGAGTGCGGCGATGTCAAAGTGTTGCAAGTACCAGTAGCTTGCCGGAATAGCCATTGATACCCCCTTTTTATGCTGGTCCATCCTATGTCGAAGCTCTCGCATAAAGGAAACGATATTCTTATAGTCCTCATCTCGCCCGTTGCGGTCCGGAGCAACAGGGTACTCCCAGTCGATGTCTATACCGTCAAAGCCATAGGTATTCATCATTTTAATCAACGATGTGAAAAATCTCTCCATATGGGCCTCAGAGGCGGCCAAGTCACTGAAAGTTGTTGCCGTCGGACCCGGATCGTTAAAAGCCCAGCCCCCTATCGCAACCCAAACCTTGACATCTGGCTGTACGAGTTTAATAGCTCCAATCCTACTCATAATATATTCCGTTTGAGAGTTTCCTGGGGAGACCTCAAATGTCTGGGGATGAATGGTGGCGAAGCTAAAAATGATGTGTGTATATAGGCCGTAAGGTATCTCCTCTGGGCTCATAGTAAAGCAAGACCTCTCAGACGTTGCCCAGGACTCGAAATAGCCAATTACTCGACTGACTGGCTTATCCTTTGGTGAGCAGGATGGTCGTTGGACCTCCTTTCCATCGCAAAATTCCTCGGTAAAGCCACAGAATCCATGTCTACTGCAGCAGACGTTGAGCGGGCACTTGTCCTGCTTGCTCCATTGACTCCCATCCCAGCCCGGATTGCAGTCCGCTTGTCTTTCGCATGTGCTTTGACAGCCAGCCCTGCATTTGAATTCACGATTAGCCATGTTATTAACCCCATCGGCCAGCCCTCATGACAATGAAGTCCATACGCACCCGCAATAGTCAGGCCCAAAGCCACAGTAGCCAGCACTGCTACAGCAACCTATCGCACAATGCTTCGTAGAACTGCATTGTTGCTGGTTTGAAAACTGTATCCAGCAGCTTAAAAGAATAAGGGCCTCTAATATTCGTCTCATAATTGTTGAATATTTGCTTGCCAGAATTGCTTTAATGGCGAGGCCAGTACGTGACAACTAGGGGCAGATGACTTTGATAAGTAGTCAACCAGCCCTGTACTTGGAGAGAACAGCTGTGATTCATCGACTCTGATTTCTTTGTCTTCCCGGCCATGATTTTTGCCAAGCCCGAATTTGTGGCTCTGGTAAGACGCCCTGGGACATTATGTGAATCGATGGGTTATATTAACCCCCCCCCCCCTTGTCGATTATATTCCCTGATTGGTCCACAGCTGTATGAATTCACGCGGCTTAGTTTAATTACGACGTAGTTGTATAAGAGTCTAGAACCAACGACAGGGTTTAGTCAAATGAACAAGTTCGGCCCCCAAGTTCGACCAAACTGACTGCGCGTCTCCCAGAACCAGGGATACACGAAGCCCAAACCTACCTTTTTTAATTACCAGAAAAACTTGCCTACATCTTGGATATCCAAAAACTCCCCATGTTTTGTCTTGAATGTTTGTCGAAGCATCCAAACCTCCAATATGCCCATGTCGCCAGCTGTCAAGTATACCGTCGCAGGACTCTGCTTCAGCGTGTTATATCTTGGTGAAGCCAGCCGCGCTGGTGCTTTTCCGGCTCTTGACAGACGCGCAAATGGTTTTCGACTGGTCGACAACGGACTCCCTGGGTTCTCAGGCCTCGGCTCAACGTGCCGTCAAGTCCTTCAGCAAGTGATCAAGTGTGAAGAATATGTGGCAAACCTCGGACTGAAAGAGTACCATGGCTTAGTGCCTGACGGAGTGTTGGCCGATGAGGTTTGCAAAGCCACTTGTGAAATATCATTGACGACAGCCCGGAGGCGCATCTTGGGTGCTTGTTCTTCGACCCCCGAACTGGCCCCTGGATACCCCTTGCTCGCGCTAGTCGATTCAATCATCTATGGTTGGAATGAAACATGTCTTCGGGACAAGAGTACAGGAAAATACTGCAACGGTGAGTACAAAGCGGCTCCGATTAGCTTCTCTGGTCCAAAACAAAAAAAAAAAAAAACTGAACATCCTTTTACATATCCGGTATTGACTCCTTATTTCTGCTTCGCTTGAAAGACATCTTGGAATCATGGGACAGCGTTGACGAGCTGGACAAGATGCCCGAAACACAGCTATGCTCGTATTGTTTTGGAACCAAGCTGCGCATGATGCAGCAATCCCCGTACTCTGGGTATGACGAGCTGTTTGCCAACACTCTCGAAATTGTAAATGAAAGTCAGACACCCCTATGTTGATTGGAAAACATGTTCAACTGGCCCACAGGACTTGGCTAATACATGTTGGAGATAGAATGTGGCATCGACAGCCCCATCACACCGCAGCGTGAGCTCAACGGCATCAACCCCACCAGGCCGGCTTCATGCCCTAGTGGTCAAGCTCACGTTGGCCGAGAAGGAGACACGTGCGATACCATTGCACTAGCCAACTCTGTTTCAGCTGCGACGCTCTATTTCCTCAATCCGGGCCTGACCAACTGCAGTGACATTGCCGCTGGAACTCAGCTTTGCCTCCCAGACAAGTGTAACACCGTCTACCAGGTGCAAGAGGGAGATCGGTGCGTCGAGGTGGCGGTAAGGGCCGGGACATCATGGATGAAGCTGGTGGACTGGAATCTTGGTCTTGACTCGCGCTGCTCTAACCTCTGGAGCAGAGACCCTTTCTGGGGGCGTGTAATCTGTACCAGCGTACCTGGTGGAGGCTTTATCAACACCGGTTCCCATTCCCCCGAGGGTGGGATTGGTAACGGCAATACCGGTGGCCAGGGTGGCTCGGGGGATGGTTACGCAGATGACATCGTGGAGCCGCCAAAAGGAGCTGCTGTGGCCGAAGGCACGGCGAAGAAATGCGGCAAGTACGTTCAGGCCAAAGACCACGACACCTGCTCCAGGATGGTATCCTCACGGGCCGTGCCCATGGATTTGTTTCTGCAGGTCAACCCATCACTTGGCACTGCTGCAGAGTGTGACAGTAAGCTAGTTGATGGTGCTTTGTATTGTGTCCATCCGTTCCGTTATTGGAACGCAATCAGCAATACCTAGGTCGTCTGAGGCGGACAATACTTGTGTTGGATGTGAAAGTGTATGAAGATTAGGGCTGAGGTGAAGCTATTCTTGAGGGTGCCGAACGCCGCTTAACAGGATAGCGTCTAGTTCTATTTAGCCAACTTTCACGTTATCCATTCCACCATTGCCAACCCAATCGACAAACAGGCAAATGCTGCAATTAAGCCTGCTCAACTCGATTTCAGATTACACAAATGCATTGTTAGTGAGTGGACTTCCTCGTTCCGGTATGGACTAGTCGATATTCAAGAGGTAGAGAAGGGCTAGGAGCTTATTTGGGGAGCCAATTAGCCAACCCCATGTCGTGCTGGGAACGCCAATTCCGCCCACCCAACAAAGCTCGCAGGCTTTCCGGATTATAGCTCCCTCTTCTCCCTTGAAGACCTATCTAATCGCCTTACATTCTGATTGATCTAGTGCCTGAAGCAGTATAACTAGTATTCAAGATTTCAGGTTTGAAAGCGATTGAAGATATTATCAAATTCAACTTGGACCATAGGGAGGTGGAATTGCCCGAGAGTATATATCGTGCTCTGCGTTGGTTGTAGTATGCTGACCGGAATTCCCCCAAAGGCCACCCAGATCAGAACCAGTTGCTGAAAGCTTCCTGGGATCCTCCATCACAAGAAGCATATGAGGCTGTCAAGGAGCGGATAAAGTTGATTTACAAAGATAATGGTCTCGACAAACTGTTTCGCGAGAAGAACTTGAATATGCTTGCCTTCCCCTTGGACAGCCTTATGGTGTTCATCTCGGCTGCGTCTGGTATGGTACAGCAACCTTTCCCCTCATTTGATTGAAAACTCATCTGAAAAGCACGCAGGGTACCCAATCGCGACCGCGCCCCTTGGAGTCATCCCAGAAGATGGAAGACCGTACGGACTCGGTATAATAGCTCAGGCTGGGAGAGAGGATTTAATATTCCAGTTCCTGAGTGCCTTCGAAGCTCACCTCCCGCCACCAGTTATGCCACCTCGTGCGCAAGATAATGGTCCTAGTTCAGAAATTTAGAATTTCTAGTACGTTGACCTTGAGGCCAGTTGGACGCAATGGTGCTGCGTTGTCGGAGTGCTGTGGCTGATCCTCTGCAGAAAATCCTTACTGACCAACCTGGTCAATGGCGAGATGAATGGGTCTGGAGGAAAACTCGATTTCAAGAGCAGGGAGACCAAGCACAAGTCGCGCGAGTGCTCTCTGTTTGCTGGTGCCTTGTCTCGGCCCGCTGGAAATGGCGATGGAGGGCTATTAAACCAATAAGATTGCGGATTCCAAAGGGTCCATACTTCACTAAGAAATTGTACGATAATAAATGTCCCAACAACCGCCACTATTATAAAAAGCCACATCATATTTATCGTAGCCAAATGAGGGTTGTTACGAACCGCTTTATAAGCTCCATAAAGACGGCAAAAAGGGAAGACTGCATGAGCAACCCCGCGGCAGGCAGGCACCTCCCCTCACCAGCACAGAAAGAGGCTCACCGGCAGAGGGGAAAGTGGAGGGTGGCGTGAACTGTCGCTCTCTTGATACGGGTGTAGCGTTGCGGCTCAGGATTGGTGGCCTTATCTTGCCGATATTTGCCTTCTTTTCTTGGTACAGGGGCTGAAGGGCACCCACGCGGTATATCCAAGCGACTCCATTGGCATCGCCCAGCCAATCAAAGACTTCACGGCATATAAGGCGTTCCTCCATTTTCGTTACTTGAGAACTCAGCACTCTGATGAGCCTGGCCATTACCGATCCCGACTGAAGGCTTCCTGTGTGCAGCTTTGCCTTCTTCTCTATCTTTGTGCGTCATATGCGCTTGTCTTTAAGCTGGTTGGACTCTCAGCCGACTTTCTGGCACGAGTCACGACCTGGTCATATGGTCGGTTGCTGCTCTCTGTGGGTGAACCGGATTTCGAACCAGCGTGCTTTGCACATCAAGATCGCATCCGCATATTGCCCCTTACCTTTGCTGCTTACTCGTTGGCTCGTTGCTCCTGGTCCATCGAGACCATGGCATTGAATCTCTTAGGGTTACTAACTCTAGATCGTGCGCTGGACTATCATTTGCGATGTTTCAACCAGCGGCCGATCACTCTTGGAGGCTTACATTACCGAATTGGTGATGTAGGCCATTGAATTGCCCGAGACTTTGTGGGTCAGAGTCAATTTGACAAGGCGCAGTAAGTTCGGTTGAAGGTACTTTGGCAGCTGCTTCTAACGACCTGATGCCAGGGATTATCTCAGTCGAGCACTCCGAATGTTTGCCCGACGCCCATTCCTCAAGCATAAACATGCTCGGACGACCTTCAGACAGGGCCAACTACATCTGGCAAGAGGCAAGGCTGAGCTAGCCGAGCAGTCATTCAAAGCAGCCCACAAACAGCGTCAAAGCTTGAAACCACAAGACACTCAGCCATGGGATAAGCTTTTAGAGAAGGATTACGACCAATTGGTCATCTTCATGTCCCAATGATGTAGAGGATCCCGAGCGTTTGAGAGGACTTGATGTATTGTGACAAGGGTTTAATTATAAAGGCTTAGAGTAACAAGGCTTAATTTAATAATAATCTTATAAGATATTAAAGGTTTTAAGTTATTATAAGAAAAGAAAAAAAGGGTAATTACCTTATATATATAAAAGGAATACCTAGGCTTAGAGTTTTTATTTAGGTATATATTCTAGCTATATAATTAATAAGTTTTATATTAGTATAAAGCCTTTTTATTAAGCTTTATAATTTATTAGGCTTTTTTTATATAATATTAGCTTTCCTTTTATTAAGCTTATTTTTAAATAGGTTATTTAATTTAATTATTA